GAACCGCTGAAGATTCAACTGATGCCGCCCTCGGTATTGAGCGCGACACAGGCGCCGCAGTAAGACGAGCGACTGCACCCGGTCGACGAAAGGCCAACTGAGGGGCCCTGACGCGGCGCGCCCTCCCTGATCACAGGAAAACAAAGTTGATGAATAGAGTTGAAACAAAGCGGAACAGAAGAAGAAATCAATTTTTTACCTGCCACAGGCCTACGGCCATGCCTCTCCCAGAAAGACGCCCATGTGCGTATCCCCACCGTATGGGGGAGTACGGCCTCGACCCACTCACGTATCCAAGACAATGGGGCCTGCGGCGACCTGTCGGCTACAAAAACAACACGAGTTAACGCTTGTGATCACAAATCATAAAGAGGGGAAGAAAAGGGAACTCAACCACTAAAGAACTTACGCGCATGGTTCCAAGCCTCTGGGAACCCAGTAGCATCTGCCATCAGATGCTTGGTCCTGATATAAAAGAAGTGCTCGAAAGGGCGAGGGTCGACCTCGTCATCCAATCTCATGACCAGGCCCCTCGACCCACGAGGGCACTCCTGAATCATGGTGCCACGAACTCTCTGGGGAGCGTAGAGACTCAGCACATGTTGCAGCGTGACCTCCCTACGGGCCAATTCCGCGTACTTGATGAACATTGCCAACAATTTGTAGAGGGAAGGAGTGAGCTGACCCGGGCACACCCTGTCCCGTAATAACGGCAGAAACCCACCACCAGCATTGGGAGCGGGATCTTGAACCCCAACCTGAAAGGATAGGCGTAAAAAATGCAGTATCCCCTGCGGTCGGTGTGGACCCTCTCCTCGTTTCTAGCGAGAACGATGTCTGCATGGGTGGGAATGACCCCCTGTTCCCGTAATCGGGCCATCCCAATCTCCCCCATTAACGGGGCTTCATCCACCGGTTCCACTCCACCGTCGACAGTGAAATCAATCGCCGGACCTCCGGGCCGAGGAACTACCTCGTCAACCGACGGAACTTCTCCGGTCTCTATCTGTTCTGCACCTCCCATTGCCGGAGGTGGCCCTTCAACTACCGGAAAGTCTATCGGAAGAGCATCGTGGGAAGAACTGCCTGTCATTGTTGATCTACTAAAGACAAAGGTTATCACAATCAAAGGAAAGAAAGGAGAAGATGAATTTGCGGAATGAAAAAGTTTCCTCAGAATCTCTCTCAGATGAACAATGAAGATATGAGAAATGAATGCCTCAACCCACCTTTATAGGCAACATAAATGGCTTTCGCGAAACCCAATAGCCATCATTAACTGCACGACCAACCGTAAAACGGTTCGGTTCTGCCGAAGCAAGCGTCATTCTGACAAGCTCCGCAAAGCGACTTCTCAGCCATCCGCCAACGTACCGCCGTCAGAATAATCGCTACGGCCTGCGAACATTGAAAGAATGTGCCGTACGCCTTCAAAATTCTGGACGTAACCAAATACGCACCCGGCGCATACTCATTCCCTACGGCCATCTCCAATATATGAAAGGCTACGGCCATCCCCAATGTATGAAAGGCTACGGCCATCTCCAATATATGAAAGGCTACGGCCATCTCCAACGTGTAAACGGCTAAGGCCGCAGCCGAGCACGTATCAAGCGTGCCCTCATTCTCCTCGGCCGCACAACATACGACCCGTCCGCCACGGCCGACGGGTATGCTTCCAAAACAAACGTAGGGATCAGAGCACAATGCAGCTCGACCTCACTCGAAGTAAGTTAAAAGGGTGCCTTCGCCCAGGAGGAGAGTTCGACCTCGATCGAACGATGACTTGATAGCCCAATAACAGGATACTAATACTCTACAAGGTTAAGGGCCATCGCCAAAAAGAATTCGGCTTCGACCGAAGCAACAGTCGACATCTCCATCCGTGTTTCTCGAAATACAGCCAATGGAATCCGCTCATCGAGCTCGGCCAAGGCCCGACCTCAATAAGCGGAGGGACTAACTGTATGGGTCAGAATTCGACCCCACGATAATTAATGAGGCTAATCCCGTTTTAAGTTAATTCATGATTAATTAATGGCACGACCACTCAGAATTGACGATGTTCAACCTGCATCTGGTTCGATCGACAAGGCCTTGGCCTATCCGCCACCATAAAGGCGAGATCCCAACGTGGTCACGGCCACTTATCGCCAGCTCACGAAGCCCACAGCTATAAATACTCAGAGAGGGAACCCTAGAAAGGGGGACTGCTTCTTCACCACTATTGACAAGAGAGAGAGAGGAGAGAAAAACATACCCATCTTTTGGGAAGTGAAAACACCATTGTAAGGCTCTGAACCTCTTCATGGAGAGGCAGACCAAACCAATATTATCAATAAAGACTTTTAATGTTTCTCCCCCTAACCTTGAGTACTTATTTTCATGTTCTTCGCTTGGTCCAATGGATTATTACGATTTGCTATGATTTTCCCGTGATTTATTTATATTATTTTATACTCATAAGATATGTGATAACTTTTGAGCAAACAGATATGAACCCATAATTTTCCGTATATATTGAGTTCAAAACTGAACCCATAAAGTTTAAATCTTAAATCCGCGCTTGCCTGTTTCAATTTAAGTAATACTATTTGATGAGATTGAAGTTCAAAAAATATAAAGAGACATCAATATTTTGTTGTCGCGGTTTTTTTTACTGTCCTGGTTTTCCGGAAGAATTGATGAACCACGATCTTTCCTCGAGTCCCATCTCACAACCAACTTAAATGCACTTTCAATTGGCGTAAAGTTATATGTATTCGTTTACACCGACAATATTGGGAAAAAGCGTTTTCTCGTTGTAGTAGTAGTAGGACTATTTATTACTACTAGTAGTAGAATTTCCTAACAACTAAATCGATCAGAATAGCAGCACATGCTCTTCATTTAATTAAGATATATTCACATACACATAATTAATTAATTGAAGGAGTAAATAGAGTTTGCTAGAAAGGTGGAAAAGTTCTACCTAAACTGTTAACATTTGCGAAAATACCTACCAGATCTTGCCGGTACGGTAAGTATGATTTCCTCTTATTCTTATCCATTTCCTTTGCCGCCGCTTGGTTCCGTAAATAAACAGCCGCCGGCGAAGAAGCCTTCTCTCCAACGTTACTACTCCCCTTTTTTGATTTTCCGGCGGCTTTCGATACCTCAGCAGAGTTCTTTGCTTTTGAAGTTTCGTTTTTCGTTCCTTTTCCCGGCGTTAAAAATACAAAACTATCCTTACCGTCGCTATTACTCCGACGCATCAAATCTCGAATACTCCACCGCTTAAACGCCGATCCTGTTGAATTACTCTTCTTACATCTGCTCGGTGAAGGCTCGCTTAACTTCGGCTTCCATACACAGTAGGTTCCCGGAGGTACACTTTCCAACTCATCGACTTCCGATGACGAAGACGACGGCGGTTCGCGATCTTCTAAAAACAAATCCTTTAACGAAACCTGGATTGAACTATTGGCATTTTCCGACGTTTCGCCGGCTTTGTGATCTACGTCATAAGAAACGCCGTTTAGTAACAGATCGCGATTGAAAACGGGGAAAACAGGCTGGATTTGACGGTCGTATAAGAATTCCCCAACCGAAGCTTCTGGATTTTCACATACCAAAGAGAATTCAAAATCATCCTCGCCAACGTTCGCTTCCACCTCCGCCTGCTCCGCCACCTTAGAATCGCGTTTAATTTCATCGGAGATTTTAGCGGCAATCTCCGCCGCTCTATTTGAGGAATAGCAGCTAAAGCTAGGGCAGAAAAATTCTTCTTCCTGCATGTGGTCTGGTCTCTGTGAGTAACTAACTGGTGCACGTTTAGGTCTCTGTAAGTTACGATCTTATTAATGGAGAAGGAATTAATGCAGACTGTTTCAGGCTTTCCAGCTGGGGTTTTATACGAGAGTTTTTTCTTTTTCTCTTTTTTAAAGATTGTAAATTTGATGAGCTAAAAAATAATTATACAATTAAGTCAATATTCTATTAATGAACATTTATTGGTAACTTACCATAAATGTAACTTAACCTAACAGATATCTAAATATTTATTACAATTTTAATACATAAATAATCGTACAACTAAACTTCTTTTGGAAAAACATCTTATGTCTGCAATTTAAGGATCGTAGAGACGTAGACAGATACTGATATTTTCTTAGGCTCCTACACCCAAATAAATTGTTAACACTAATTGATTTTTACAGGATGACTGCAAAAGATTTTCTTTTAATTTTTGGACTACGTTGAGCTTATGAATAGAGAAGGAAGAAAAGGTTGAAAACAAGAAAAGCGTCTTTAATTTAAATTAGATTCTTATAGGGAATTTTTACCTCCTATAGCAAACCTTTACACCTTATTTATTATAAATAAATATCATTTTATAAAATTATATCGTATAGCTACCTTTTAGGTTTTATAGCAAATTATCTATTTATGGTCACTTCTTACTGTTAAGTCATTAAATACGCCGTGAAATATTTTTCTCTCTCATACTTTCAATTCTCTCTCTCCCAATAACACCAGTATTGTATACAATTTTGTTAAATCCACGTTCTCCCTCCACTATCTCTCTCCCAACCCAGTATCTTCCGGACGAATACAACCTCCATTGTCAACTGATCCATCTCCAATATCTCTCTCAATTTTCAAAATTGTTTGCCCAAAAGAATTCCAAGCTGCCTGCACTTGACCCTCCTGACTAGATGTGTCACGAATCTATTGCTACATCTAGCGAACAAAATCTGAAGGAAATCCAAGCCACGCACATCGTCGTTTAATCCCATCATCAACTTTTTCATAATCTACTAGGAGAATAGAGAAGGGACACAACAAACTGCAACAATCAACACACCTGCTTGGCTACGACAAGTTGCAACAAACGCTCAAGCGGAACATGTATTTGCAGGTTCAGCAGCAAATACAGTTGCGGAATGACACATCGAAACAAGCCTAATTTGAGAAATTTCCGAAAGAATCAACACTTTCATTGTTTGTTATTAGATGTATGTAAATGTATTTAGATATATTGGATGTATTTAGATGACTTTCATTGTTGTACTTATGAATGTGTTATGTATTTCAAATACACATATGTATTTTACTGATAAATAGTTATTACAGTGACTTTCACTGTTTGTTTTTAGATGTATTTAATTGTATTTAGATGTATTTACAAGACTTCCTCTGTTGTACTTATGAATGTTATGTATTCCAAATACATGTATTCATCTAAAATGAGTACATGTTTTGAAAATCTACAGAACGATAGCAACAGAAAAAGGAGGGATTGAAATTCTAGAGATTGTTCTGTTTTGTGGTCTTTTTTTGCTGGAAAATCTTTTCTTTAACGTGAAATATAGATTGTGCGTGTTATAATTGAGTTAGTTGAGTTATATGAGAGTTATATGAGGAGTCTATCGCGTTAATTGATTCACTTACCGTTCTAAACAGCAGAAAAGACCATTTTTTATGCAGTTTACGTTACTGTATTCACAAATACAGCTCGCGAATACAATCGAATACAACTGTTGCTTAGCTGGACTCTCGTGTTTCACGCCGAGTTTTGCTATTTTATTCATGAATACGGTAGCTTAAATACATCGAATACACTCTATAACCATTAAAAACATAGCCATCGGAAGTAATTTAATAAATGGCAGCTATAGCTAGCTAATAACCACCAAACAATAGTGGTTTGTAAAAATTTCTCTATATCTATGTGCTATTTGGGCTGCCAAAGGCTTTAGGGTACTTAACCTTAAAGGAAAAATTGGCATCCTATAACAACACATAACAGGAATTGGTAATTTTTTAGCCTTATATTAGGTTTGGCAAAGATAGCCGCAAAAAAATTGGCATTACATAGCCAAATCTTAAAAAAAAAACTACTCTCTTTTATATTATCTCGAAAATAAAAAAAAAAACTACACGCTTATTTTGGCTTCCCTCCTCCTTTCTCTCCTTGTATTACTTCTTCTATCTCTTCTCTTTTGCTCTCACAGTTTAACAAAAATTCTTGCAAATTATGCAAAAAAATCAGTGGCATGAAAAGGTAAGGTTGATCTCACATCAGAGAAAATCAGAAGCAAAAACTAAGAGAGAAAAATATATTTCAACTTTGTTTTTCTTCTCTCTTCTTTTGTTTTGGTTGGATTGAATGAGTGGGTGTGATTGAAATTGGTTGAAAATACCTAAACGAGGCTACATACAAAATTTGAGCAAGATTAGCAAAAACTAAGAGAAAAAAAATATATTTCAACTTTATTTTTCTTCGCTCTGCCTTTTTTTTGGTTTGATTGAATGAGTGGGTGTGATTGAAATTGGTTGAAAATACCTAAACGAGACTATATAAAAAATTTGAGCAAGATCAGAAGTGATTTACACTGGTTTCAGGTAAAAACTCAGACCTAAAAATCCAACAGTGACGTGGGTATATCATATTGTATATCATGTACATCAGTGTATATCACACACAAGTTTTTAAGGATGTATGCGTATATCACTTTGTATATCGTGTATAAAACATAATTTTTTTATGGACACCCATGTATATTACATTATATCGTATATATAACACAAATTTTCTTGGATATACACAGATACACATGATATACATGAGATATCACTAATATACATAGAGATATACACGGGTTACAATAGGGGATACACATGTGGAGTCTTCTTGAACTTGAGTTTTTAATCTGAAATGTGTTATACAAAGAAGGAAAATAAAATTTAAATAAATTTTTTTGATATACACATTATTATTACGTTATACACTGTGATATAAAAATAATATAATTATTAATTATTGATCAAAAAAGGAAAATAAATTTCTGATATAGCATGTTTAAGCAAGTTCTAAAATACAAAAATATTAAATATAATTGTGGGAGTAAATAATATTTTGGTATAGATAGAAAATTAATTTTTGATATACACAAAGAAGAAAAATAAACTTATGCTATCTATTTTGGTATACACATGTCTGATGTGCCATACACTATGATATACAAATAATATAATGTTTTTATTGTTATATACATTGATATAAAGGCAGCAATAACTATATATATAATTTTATATTATTGATATACAATGAATAAAATTTTATATTATTGATACAAAGAATGAAAATAAAATTTTAATATACATGTTGATATAGACAAAGAAGAAGAAAAAAAATGTGATATACATATTATGATATACATTTATTGGCTATTTGATGCCAATATCTATAACTAGGACTATTTTATGTCAATTATATAGGTATGTTGTTATACCCTGCCAAAACCCCTTGTGGTTAAGATAAATTAAGGGTATGGGGTAAGGGAATTTTTAGGGTTACCGTACCAGTATCACTACCGGCCCTAAGGGGAGCAATAAAGATACTAAAGGGTATTGTAGACATCGAAATTTTAAGTGATCAAGTCAAATTCTAAACTAAAGATACTACACGACTCTTGAAATCCTAGGAGTCTATTAGGGTTTCTTGGAAGTTACTCTACCCTAACCCTAAATCAAAGCTATAAAAAGGGTCACATATTCCCTTTGAATAGGCATCTCAAAAATGGAGATCATCTTGAAAATCCCATAAACTTACGGGATATTCACAAAGAGATCAAGAAGTGGCCGGATAATTCGATAATCAAATACTTCAAGAAGATCCACAACATACTTCATGGATATCAAATAAATCCATGAAAGCCCGCACCATCCTACGTTCGAGAAATACGCTGTTCTAGCCCTCGAAACACGGAGATAATCAGGAGAGAAGAATCAAGGGGATAAACAGAATTGTACCCGCGTCTTTTTATGAATAAAATTATGTTTCTTCATATTTATATTGTGGTTGCAATATATTTTTGTATCACATATAATTTATTGCAAACAAATTGGCACGCCCGGTGGGACCAGTTCTGCCCTTCATCTCTTTCTCCTGTAAATCGGAAACTACAAGATTCAAAATCAACTATTGTGATGGCCTTCAGAAAGAGCAATGGTGTTCTAAGTAAGATCGTTATTGCAGCCACATCTGCCGATCTCTATTATATTGGCCCGATCACTCGGCGCATGTTCAAGACCAGTTGCTGGAACGGTTGCCCAAAGAATTTAAGTTCTTTATTTAAAGGCGAGAAAAAAAAGTATTACTTCAAGTCTCGTCTTTGAGGTCCGGCAAGCTTCCCCTCGACAAAACTTGAAGTAGGGGGCATTTGTAGACATCGAAATTTTAAGGGATCAAGCCAAATTCTAAACTAAAGATACTACACGACTCTTGAAATCCTAGGAGTCTATTAGGGTTTCTTGGAAGTTACTCTACCCTAACCCTAAATCAAAGCTATAAAAAAAGTCACATATTCCCTTTGAATAGGCATCTCAAAAATGGAGATCATCTTGAAAATCCCATAAACTTACGGGATATTCACAAAGAGATCAAGAAGTGGCCGGATAATTCTTGATAATCAAATACTTCAAGAAGATCCACAACATACTTCATGGATATCAAATAAATCCATGAAAGCCCGCACCATCCTACGTTCGAGAAACACGCTGTTCTAGCCCTCGAATCACGGAGATAATCAGGAGAGAAGAATCAAGGGGATAAACAGAATTGTACCCGCGTCTTTTTATGAATAAAATTATGTTTCTTCATATTTATATTGTGGTTGCAATATATTTTTGTATCACATATAATTTATTGCAAACAGGTATTTTTAAATTAAAATTTTAAAAATTATTATATTTAAATAAACAAAAATTAGGGGAGAAAACATAAATTAAGGTGTACGGGGTGTTATGAGACTAGGGAGGTAAAAAATTCCGCTCTCATCGAACCGTTTGCAGATCTTGTGGTGCTTATTGCGGTATTCACGATATTTCCGCTCCAACTTCTGAAAAATAGCCTTACGCCTCTCCTCTCGTCGGGCGCTCTCAATTTCCAAAACCACAATCTAAAAAAAAAG